ACGAAACGCTTGGGTGCTGTCGGTGCTACTCGCCTTCCAGGATGGGGACCGCGTGATTCTCACTGTGCCTGGTTGTAGACACTACAAGATATGGCTACCAACCGATGTCATTGGCGTTCTTGTTGTCAGTTTCTGTCCAGATTGCCTGAGTGAATGCCTGGAGGTGTAGGCACCTCGGAATGATTGTGTTAAGCTAGCACTAAGTCCCTCCCCCATCCACCTTTATTCTTTTCTTTACAATAAGGCTTTCAAATAAGTCATGGTTGTACGGCAGTGAAGCATCGGTGTTGAACACTGATGTCATGCTGTCGATGATGATGATCCTACGGTGAGAACGAACAAAGCGAATTACGGGCGAATGAACAGGATAAGGTGTGGTTAAAGCGCGAATTTTCTAACTCGAACGTCCATGGTTCCTAAACATGGATGTCATGCTGTCGATGATGATGATCCTACGGTGAGGAAGAACAAAGCGAATTACGGGCGAATGAACAGGATAAGGTGTGGTTAAAGCGCGAATTTTCTAACTCGAACGTCCATGGTTCGAACCTAAACATGGCTTGTCAAATGCTGCACAACAATTTGGCGGTCCAGCTGCTAACGCAGTCGCTCGATCGGCAAGCTAATCCAACACATCGCCTGAGGGAAAGCATGCGAGAATAGACCATGGATGAATTTAGATGAAAAAAATCACATGCTCATTCCAAAATTCTGTACTACTCAGACGATATATCCTACAGTGAATCCAATACGGATACGATGGTACAAGATGTCGCCAAATATGTTTTCCCCAATTCAACACTAGTTCTAGCCTGACCGACTTCCGTTTGACATTTGAAGGTTGTGCTGGAAATGGGGCACGTTGTTAACAGTAATGAACGTTTCTAGGGGAAGTGATCCAGTGGATAACGTAGATCAGGACTTCGACGACCCGCGATCGAATCTACCACGTAACCTTCATGATGCTAGCCGACATTCGGTAGTAAAAGAAACTGTGTCCGAATACCTTACTCTCCGCAGGCTTATCTGCATATAAGGCAATTGTGAATGAACAATACATCGAGGACCCTACCGTGAACATTGCCTAACGACAAAACCGTACTCGCCAGTTACATCCTGGTTTGTACGCAGAGTGAGACGCATATCGTATTGGTGGTTCCACCTATAAAGCAGAACAAAGTATCCGCCAGTCGTATTGGACAGAGCAGTCACACAGAGTGCACTTAGCCAGTTTATGGGTTGTTCGGCTTGCCTACTGGGTGAAAGAACATTCTGAATCACAACACAGACGGGGCTCAGCATACAAAACGAAATCAATGTGTACTCTGCACCGATCACCCTCGTGAAATAAGCGATTGGATTTCAACAGCCTCGAACAGTTGCTGGGCTAGTGTTAAAATGGTTTTGTTGGTTAAGCCACGCAGTTGGCAAGTCGGAAGACCATCCGCCATACCAGACCACTCTTTGCCGTGCAGAGACGACCGGAATGTAGGCGGTCAGAAGCAGTGCAACACTGACCAGTGACGAAAGTCGCATTGGTTAATGCCACCTCTCTGGAAGTTCAAATATCCTGCTCAATGGCCACGAGTAACTTGAGGAACAAAGAAGTCGATCGGATAACTGATCATCATCATCACCAACCCAACCCAACCCATGCATCGTGCCTCTTATGAGCTGACTGATACGATTAGCCCGCACGGCCTAGAGTTCCAGTCAGTATATCAGGTCGTCCAGACTATATTTTCAATGCAAATGCAAGTATTTACTACAATGACTGATCCAGATAAAAGTTAAGTTGTTCGTTGTACGTACTTCCCAACAAGTAACATGACAAACACATTAAAGCTGAAATACTCCGTTGTTTCAGCCTGAATAAAAGGAATCAAATCGGCAGAAATCCAGCTGCAGTGCTCTGGGGAAAGCCTGTCACCATGAAGCTAACCAAACTTCCTGTGGCTAGACATCCTGGGCCACCTTAGATGCCTATGTGGTAATGATACCGACCTGCAGTGTCAAATACTGGGTCAGAAATGTAGTTAGCCATGCGTTGAGATCATTACGTTGATACGACAGCTCAGACTCGCTCTCCTACTAAGACCCGTAACTAGAATACCGCGAAGAGCTCAGTGCACCGATCTAGATGCAATACCATGGAATTTAGCGAGCCCCACACATGGTAACTAATAATACGGCCACTCGCTCATCCCAAGGAAGCATGTTTCCTACGCCAGTCGTGCAGTAGATGGCAAACGTAAACTGAGAATGTTCGTAAGAAAGACTGCTTTCCAGCCACAAACCCTTGGCCTAACCTCACTCCAGTGACTAGTTCCATATTTGCACAAGACGCTCAGACTGATTCCCCCTATCAAGATCCTTCAGCCGCGAAACCCGGCACCCAGTTCCTAAAGAACAAAGACCGAGATGTTGCCGGGTTTCCAAGACTACGCACGAGCAGTCGGGATGTTGCGGTTGGAACCAAAGACCTTTTGGACAGCTACATCAGCCTAGTTTACTGCGACAACGCACCGCTCAGTGCATCCTGACGGATGAACCTGGGATCACCTATGCGACTTTTGGTGACTGGCTAGACACAGCGCGCGGACGCCGTGATCCCCAAAATTAGGAAGCCCAAAAAAAGTCAGAGCCCCTCGTCGGAGCCCTGTCCCAAACCATGGAATAGAATGAACCGCTTCACATAATCATAACCCTGATTTGGGCCTCCACCTAGCACGTCTGAACCCCACGAAAATTAAGCAGGAAACGTATGAAGATGATGATACTGAACACAGAAACCAGTAGTGCTACATCGCCTCGCGCACGACTACTGCTATACCCTTCAAAATTCCGTTACGCACAGCCAGCCATCGTTGAGCATCAGTCATCCTAAAAAGAGTACTATGACCATGCAGCATGCGTTGAAATCCTACCAAATGCAGGGACCTGATAGACCCGTGGATAGTTCTCTGGGAAACCGGCATTCACCCGATGCGCGCGCACACACAGGCTAACTCAAACTGACCCCCTCCAGGGCGCGACTTATAGACTACATCTCTTATGCGCAAATAATATCGAAAGTAGGAAACCATAGTGCATAAGCTGGCGGACTCAGAACCAGACGTACCAGTGGGGCGTTAGATGAACAAGTGCTTGATACAACCTAACGGTAAGTCGACAAATACCCTCTTGGACACGACAAGTTTAGCGAACCCAGGAAATACGCTCAAAACAAGGCATCCCATTATTCACGGAAAACACATGTATTCCAGTGAAGTATATTAGCTGCGCGCGAATAGAAAAACATTATTTTTTCTTAGCGACCTTCTGAGCAGACTTCGTTGCCTTGGCAGCCTCGGTCTTTTTGGCAACCGCCTTAATGACGCCAACAGCCACAGTCTGCTTCATATCCCGGACAGCGAAACGACCGAGGGGTGGATAATCTGCAAAGGATTCGACACACATGGGTTTGCTGGGAGTCATGATGACAATCGCGGCGTCACCGGACTTCACATGGGCGGGATGATCTTCAAGGACCTTACCGGAACGACGATCAATCTTTTCAACAAGTTCGTTGAACTTGCAAGCGATGTGGGCGGTGTGACAATCCAACACAGGGGCATACCCAGCCTTGATCTCACCGGGATGGTTCAAGACGATAACTTGGGCAGTGAAGTTCTCGACGGCTTTCGGAGGGTCAGACTTGGAGTCACCAGCGACGTTACCACGACGGATGTCTTTGACGGAAATGTTCTTGACGTTGAAACCGACGTTATCACCGGGGAGAGCTTCCGACAGGGACTCATGGTGCATTTCAATAGACTTCACTTCAGTTGAGATGTTGCTTGGCGCAAAGGTGACTACCATGCCCGGCTTCATAACACCAGTCTCCACACGACCGACCGGCACAGTTCCAATGCCACCAATTTTGTACACGTCTTGGAGAGGGAGGCGGAGTGGTTTGTCGGTGGGTCGACTGGGTGGATCAATCGAGTCAAGCGCTTGGAACAAGGTCACGCCGGTGACTTCCCCAGACTTTCGTTCCACCTTCCAACCTTTGAACCAAGGCATCTTGTCGCTTTTTTCCAGCATGTTGTCGCCGTTCCATCCAGAGATGGGAACGAAAGGAACCGTCTTCGGATTGTAGCCAATCTTTTTGACATACGCAGACACATTCTTCTCGACCTCGTTGAATCGTTCCTCACTATACGGAGGAGTGGTGCTGTCCATTTTATTCACCGCAACGATAAGCTGCTTCACGCCAAGTGTGTAAGCCAACAGAGCATGCTCCCTCGTCTGGCCGTCCTTGGAGAAGCCGGCCTCGAACTCACCAGTACCAGCGGCGACGATCAAGACAGCACAGTCAGCCTGGCTAGTTCCAGTAATCATATTCTTGATAAAGTCACGATGCCCAGGAGCGTCGATCACAGTAACGAAGTACTTCGCCGTCTCGAACTTCCACAAAGCAATATCAATCGTGATGCCACGTTCACGTTCAGCTTTCAGTTTGTCAAGCACCCACGCATACTTGAAGGAACCTTTACCCATCTACAGAAATAGGTCGACCAAAGCAGAGAACCTACCTCAGCGGCCTCCTTTTCGAACTTCTCGATCGCACGCTTGTCGATACCTCCACATTTGTAGATCAAATGTCCAGTGGTCGTCGACTTTCCGCTGTCTACGTGTCCAATAACCACAATATTGATGTGTTCCTTGGTGGCTACCATCCTAGAAACAACGTCTGAAACAACGCGTGACAACCTACCCAGTGCGCAGCAGCAAACGTCGCGGTATACACTACCGGTGTTTTCGGAGCCGGAAGCGGAGATAGCAATCGACTTAAACACAAACGGCTGCTCAAGTGTGATAAACTTGGGTATATGTTTCTGGGATCCAATATGAAAGTCAGACACTATTAATTAAAAAGCGACCGTGGTGCCGACTATTTTGTTACTCTAGCAATTCTAATTATAGCGGTAATTTCAAACCGGATCGGGCAGGGCGGGACTCAAATGCCTCAGAAATAAGTAATTGCAAAGGCCAATTTATCAGGTCGTCCACGAATAGTAGCCACGCTTATATTATGATTTTCGGAATGATAAGGAGAATCGTGATTAGCGTCAGGAATCTATATGTGCCATCTCTTTCCACTTCTACCTTCCCATACTTCGCACGCAGATTCCACTTATTTAATACTTATTAAACACTCCTTTCCTCTTTCCTTTTGCCTTTCCTCGTGCCACTTTCATTATCGGTTTTGCTTTTCGTGTGAATTTGCGTGATATTCTACCGCGATTTTCGTACGTGTCACTGTACCCACCTACTGCAACCCTATGTGTAAGCTCGGTATGCTAGAATTCGGTGAGGCATTCCCGGATTCTGAGTAAGCCGGTAATTCAAACATCCATGAGAAGCCTTCGTCGAATCCACAGCCTTCTGCAGCTGTGCTAGACTATAAATGAACTAAGCGTATCCTTTTTGACGATTATATCGATGGACTTGTTATTATTAGCCGTCCTATATTTCAAGGCAGGGTTGTCCGAATAGTTAGAGACCCCACGCCGTCTCCTGTAAGACGGAGATTTTGGAACCGTAAGGAAATTGCTTATATTTGTTTTTGTGAGACCACCACATTGGTCAGCGCCGTTAAGCTAAATCGTATATACATGAGTAGGAAGTTGCCCTCTGGTGTACTTTGGCTTGCATGCCACCTGTTCATTTTCGTGCTGATAAACTAAAACACAAACTTCAGGCCTCCTCAAAGACGTACCTGGATTTGGGTATCAAAGCGTTGCAATTTTGTATAAGTAGGCAATCAAAAACTGAAATAGCAGGTGAATGAATGCGATTGTGATCACCCTCAGTGAACAAACCAATGGACGTGTAGAGCATCTTAAAAGGGGATGAATGGCTGACTTCCAGTGGGACGGGGAAGCAAAAGCATGAACGTCTTGGTCAAATGCATGTTTGCGTGGGCGCTTAGGTGATGCAGTGTGAGAGCTTATTCCACGAAGGAACAAAAACCGGAAAAAAGGACTCCCTTCGAGTGGGCCGTGAGCCGTAGCGGGAAAGCTTGCGGGAATGACCTCGCATGTGGGTGTATTATCAATGCAAAAGATTGAACAGGAGACTGGATTTGGAAGCCTGTGAATGTGTATTCAGGGTCCAAGAATGTCACTAAAATTCACTGAAGATGGTATGAGATATCGGCTATGGATACGGGAAAGTGTGAAGAGAATTGATTGATTTTGCGATTTTAGACGCTGTACAGTACGCTCAAACCAGGCGGCCGAGGATGGTTGTGATAACGGTTATTCCTCGACCCGAACTTTACAAGCTACCGTTCTAGTGAAAAAGTATCAACAATTAACGCATTGCATACTAATGCCCCAAAACAGGGGAAGCGTGTACTGCGCGCAATAAATAAAGTGCTTGCTGTGAAAACACTCTGGAATTTCTGACGCTATCCAGATGCGCCGGCAGATACTGGGTCATGTTTCGCTGTTGAGTTTAGACTTTCGACCAATCAGAGCTCAGCTTGATGCCGGACTGGCAAGCAGCCCGAACCAATTGCTGATCGTTTGCGGGATATGGATGTCGGCCATAGCAGCTCTTAGCTGCGTGTGTTGAAGCGATATTCGTGTAGGATTCTTCTTGGGCTGGGCACAGGGTTGAAGAAATGCAGGAATGTTGCCCATAAGCATATGCAGCTTGTGACCAACCGAACATGCCTCAAGTGCCATGTATCTTGAGTAACGGTAGAGACAGTCAGCTCATTTGAATGTTTCTGTAGTAGTTTCTATTCGTGCCTGGATGGTGGTGAGATGGTTCAGCGGTTAGAGCGCGAATTTACTGAACGGAAGGCCTCTGGTTCGAATCTCGACTTCGCCTGTATAGGCTTGGGAAACCCGGCAGTATCCTATCCCAGGTGCTTCCCCCTGGTGGTGTCGCATCTGAGCACCGAAAGGGTGCTACAGCTGAGTGATTTTTTGCTATTTGTGCTTCTTTTCAGCCTATGCGCTATTTGTGTGACCAAGAAAAGCAGGCGTGAAATACAAGAATTCGTGGGTCCTGAGATTAATCAGTAAAATACTGTACTTCAGGTGCACAAATACGTACGTAAACGGGATATCAACCTCATATTATGGGGGTTTTGGTCTAAATGATGGCACTATTTCGTTCAAGTAGCCGTAAATGTGTCAACGCGGCACAGCAAGTCAAGTAATCAAAGGTGCGCGTAAAACGCTCCACAAAACTCGTTGGACATATAAAGGGTCACGGTGTCAGTATGCCGAAATATTTATAACACAGGTGTCTAACGGCGGTTGATCAGGTGGCCGTTAACCCGCTCGCCGAGCTTGGCACCTGGCTTGAAACTGTTTAGCCTCAAGTTGAGGAGGCATCTTCAGTGTGTCATTGAGTGAGTGCTTCATCCGTGCTTAGCTGTGTTTATATAGTTTTTAAAACCCTTTGACATTTGCCTGTAGATGATGATCCGGCAAAGCGGATTGCTCTCTTCAGTTTTTGCTTGTGCGTTTCGGTTTTGCCGTCTCCACATTCTGTGGTTCAGTAGTTATGTTGCCAATAGTGATCAAAGGGCTGGGTTGATTTCGAAGTGTTCCTTTATGGTTGTTTCATTAATATGACATGCCACATTGAATTCACATTTTTTCTCTATTCCTGCTTGAGTAAATTTACGAACGGTGCTCCAGTCGTGCAGGGTGACGAGTGAAAACTGGACGTGCCATCCGGCCGCAAGTTTATGTTTACGTATTCTGGTATAAAGCTCCTTTTCTGTTCGTTTCAATTAGTTGTAGTCACAATGCCCGCGCTGATTATTGTATACGACGTTGAGTGCCAACAGTGTACACAATCGTTTCTTTGGATTCGATAGTGTCCTCCGTAAGGTGATCACGTGCCTATGGGACATTGTTGTGTTTTACCCTTGTAGCAGCCGGTCAGTCATTTTTTAAATGCTCGAAATGAAAGAAAGTGTGATCCGTTTGCCTTCTACTTTTGCTGTTGAGTTGGCAAAATTAGGTTTCCTGAGAGTCCACCAGATGTTTTTGGCACCCTTTTCTCTCAAAAGCTCTGTACATGCGTTTCACTTCTCTGAATGCAGTGTTACATTGCGTCTCAGACGCAGCTTTGCTTGCTGAATTTTGGATGAGTGCTGTGCCAGCTAAGAATTTGGTATGTATGCGTTGCTTTTCTGTTCAGTGCAAAAGAACTACAGAAACATATGATGCAGAGGCTGATTGGAGAAGGATATTGATCAACTCAACAGGTTGGCCACCCAAGAGCAGACCAAGCGGTCAATACGAGAGGAAGCATTTGAGTCAAACCAGGAAGTAAAAGCGCCTGGACAAGTTCCACAATAAGGGATTACAATAAATTTATGAATGAACCAAAAAGTCTGGACGAACGAACCACCAAAAATTGGAATCGCCATCTCAACTAACTACATTCAGGGAGGAAGGACTAAAATACGACACAAATGAAGAAGGGACCAATAAATTTCGTGGATGTTGAGGTGGTATAAGCTCCAAGTATGCAATCAATGCACGCAATTCACGCACAACCAGGCATTGTAATTTGAAAACTGCGCATAAACCAGGAAACGCACACATTTCAGCTGTATTCACGCATGGAACAAGTAAAGAAAATTGCATTAAAAGGCGCAAAATTTAATAATATGGATTGGTAAAGCACAATAAAATTTAACTCACAATAATTTTAAGATTTTACTTCTGAAATTGCCGCATAATTACAGGAGGATCTATAAAATTTGAATTTTATCAGGTGGATAATTTACTTTAGCATTGTTTACTTCTCCATGTGGATTAAAATGCATTTCGTCGGCATTATCAATATTTTGATAACTGCTCATAGTGCTTTTTTCATTATAAGTTCAACCGAATATCGATATTTGTGTCCCCGGATGGCTGGAACTAACACACCGGAACAGTTCAGTTGTTTGACCTTAGTTAAACATATCATCGCACCTTGAACAACTGAGTAGAACTAATGGAATTCTGAAGAAATACATGTCTTAGATGTGATATCATTTTTAGGAAGCAACATCAATGTTATTTCTGGCGCTATAAAGTTTCAGACCGTTTTGTGATAGGGTTTAAGATAAAGGAAGAGAGCGTCAAATCTGAAAAACGAAGATAACCAGTATGAACATAACCTTTTACGCAATAACAACAGAAAATGGAAGAGGAGTCGGCCAACGCACCCAGAACTCTAACCGCGGACTTGCCCACCGCAACACAGCATCACCTCACTACACCAACCATCCACAGGAACCACATGGTGGAAATATTTGGTGGCGTGTCAAAATACTGATAGCCCCAATGTAAACTTTTGTCGACAGGCTCAGTATATTTGTGCAAATAGTTTCTTCGGGTTTGGCTTGTGAAATGACGGTATTTTGCTCCACTTAGTTCTC